CCTGTTAAGTCTGGATTGCAGTTCAGTATGATACTGTTTATATGCTTTCATAATAAAATGTATTAACTGGTAGGTAGAAGGTGATTATAGCTAACGGAAAAAAAATTACTACCAAAGTCTTTTCCTGATCACAGTAAATACAACAGGATGGAGTTAACCACTCTGCCTCCCAACTGTAAAAATAGTTTTAATAGAAAACTAAGAATCAATTTTCTGGGAAATTTATGGATATGGAATTATTTGCCCCTCTACAATTGGGAATAAATGCAGAGTAAAGCATTCTACAGAGATCAGGAACCTTACAGTAACATCCTTGAAGGACACAAGTGATTTGAAAAAGCACTTAACTAAAGATAAGCTCTATTTTTTCCTCTCTCCTCTCATGTTCTCACATCTCTAGTAGATAGTTGGGCCTCTGGGCAAATATCTGATGATCCATGAGTACATAAAATTAGTGAAAAACCAGGCACACCTGGAGAAGTTATTTATTAATGTTCAACTTGTGAAATGGAAGAGCATTCCCTTGAAATACAATATTCCCTCATTTTTTTTTTTTTTTTTTTTTTTTTGTTCATACTACAAATTGGTTTTGGATGTATTAGGGCTTCAAAGAAATAATTTCCAGCTATATAGGGATGGACTCTGGGTCTTTCCATTGAACCAGTAAGTCTCCTGATGAGGCCAGAGAGCCCATGTCTAGGGGCCAGGTGAGCCCCTCACTCCTCAAAGCCTGCCTTTCTGGTGGCCATGACAGTTGCAGATGCCGAGGCAGGGCAGGTGATCCTTTTGTCTTCCTGGATGTGAATGTTATACTTGGCCCTCAGTGGTACAGAAGGCCAGGCTAACGGGTTGGTACAAAGAGTGGACACTGTGATTCTGATTCCAAGTGAGGGGTTGGCAGCCAGCTGGCACCGGGTAGTCCCTGGAAGTGACAGGTTGGGCTGTGCTCCTCTCTGCCAGTGTGTGTACCATGGTGGAAAAAGCAACAAGGCAATGTTGTTGTAAGGACAGGGACTTGCCAGGGGAATTGCAGATTCATAGCCACAAAGCTTGAAATGAAAGTGAGTCAAGAACTTTGGTAGAAGAATTCCATCTTTCTAGGCGGTTAGGGCTCCCTGATCTTAGCTAACAGGACACCTCTGCTCCTTCTAGGATGTGTTCTAAGTGGTTCACGCCCTGGCGAGAAATAAGCTCATTCATGGCATCCACCTCTCTCTGTTTTTTTTTTTCACGGATGTCTTTGCTTTAGCTTCTGAATGTACAGTAGAAATAATAGTACAGATGTGGTTTGGGTGAATTGCTCTGAAAAGTGCTTTGAGTTTCTGAGAAATAAAATAAGACAGCATGAAAGACCAGGTGTGATTCCTTTTTATTTCCCCAACATTTAACCCATTGTCTAGCACCTTGTGGTCACTCCCTGATTCCTTTTACTTATTGGATGAAAACATTGTAGCAGGTGATGGTGCTATTAAGCCTATTGATATTCCCTTGAGAGAACAGTGTTCTTGTCCATGCGCTAAGCAGTGTTGAATCAATTCTACCAAAGTGATTTCCTTCAGGGGACACGCTACAGAGTGGAATGATGACAGTCCCTTTTCCTAATGAGATTTATGGGACCCTGAAGCCTGCCTGTGCTTGAGGAATGCTGGCGATGCCCCACTGGGAGACCTGCCAGAGATTATAGGTGATACCCATGTCTTTTTCCCTCATCCTCAGGATCCTTTCTGAGGTTCCCTATGTGACCTTTCAGAGGAGAGATTTTTTTCATCACTGTGTACTTAAGGACATTATCAAGGTCCTGGCTATGTGTGGGGTACTTCTGTGAGGCTGCAGGAGAAAAGAGGCCTTGGTTACAGCATTCAGGATGCCTGTTTTCTAATAAGAAAGAGATACAAGTACTCTAACCACAATGTGACACAGAACATGTAAGGGCTGAAGCTATTGAGATGAAGAGGGTAGAATCTTCCCACCGGAGTCAGGGAGGGTTACACATGAAGGACGTGGAGTTTGAACCCTGCTTGAGGAAACGATAGGAGTTTGGTGGTTAGGGATGGGAGCGAAGGAACCATTCCAAGTAGAGGAAAAAAAGCAAGATGAAAAGAGGAGTATGGACTGGATTTGAAGAGCAGTGAGTTTGCAAGAGCTTGGACTGGAAGAGGGAGGGAGGCCCAACTTGGAGGACCCTGGATGTCACCCCAAGGATTGTGAATGACCCTTATTATCCCTTTAATGTTATATAGTAAGTTCCACAGCTCTTCTTCTTCCCCAGCAAACATGGTGGGAGTAGAATAAATTCGTTCACAGAAAAGCTGAAAACTCTTGGGAAGTTGTTACTTAACCATTTCCTTTTGTGTTGAGTCCTCCCTTCATTTTCTCTCAGTGAAAAAAAATGCAAGGATAGGTGAGAGAGTTGGGAGGGTCAGATATCACTGTGGCTCCAGAGTATAGATAGCTGCCTCAATATAACTGTAGGATGTCCCTCCTGGTTTGATAGGTGAGCTTAAAAACTAGAAACCAGTTAGTCCTACTTCCTCAGACGAAATAAACTGGGTTTGTTTCTGTTAAGCTTTTATACAATTATGTCTAAATACGATTTATTATTGATTTAGTTTAATGCTCTGAGACATGCCATCTTATTGTTTGTTCTGAGAGTTTTGTCTCATTGTAGATACTCAGCCTAAGTTAATATTTTATGAGACCCAATGATAACTTAAGGCTAAAAATATGATAGAAGCCAGGGCTATTTTTTTGTTTGTAAAGACAATTTTGCTACACTCAAGAGAGCTAAGATTGAGAAACACAAACCCCCATTTGAGCACAAGGCCTACTTCCTTTATTGACCGTTCTGATGAGCAATGATGAATTGTAACAGATTTTCTCATTATTAAGTCCATAGCCTTCCAAAGACCATAGTAATCGATTTTTACATTCTTACAAATATTTACAAAGTGATTATTACATCCCAGGCACTGATCTAAGAACTTTACAAATATCAAGCTGTTTTATCCTTATAACAACCATATGAAATAGGTGCTGTTATTATTCCTATGTTACAGACAAGGAAATTAAGGCACAAAGAAGTAAAGCAGCTTGTCCAAGGTCACACAGATAGTATTCACTGCCATTTGAGTAGACGTGAAGTAAAGGTTGTGTTTGGTGTGTTTGATGTCGCTGGGAAAGGGGAAGAACTCGCCTGAGAACTTCCCATGCTGTGCCCTATGCAGAACTGGGTTCTTGGACCATTTTATTAGACGCTGCTTTTCTACAGTTTATGTCAGTAGTTGTCCTTCAAGAAACTCAGTATTTTTGCTGTGAATGTCTATAAGTGAACAGTTTCCATATATGTACAGCAAGTATGCATTAGCTGTACCACAGTCTAGCCCTGCATATTTTCTTATGTTAGAAGATGTGACTGGTAGTAGCATTTCCCCAGATGTTCGGCAGTGACTGGACAGTTAATAAGAAATGACATTTAGTCATATGTTCTGTAGGCCCAACACCCTGCTAAGCACATCGTATGCATTATTCAGTTTAATCCTTCCAACAATCCCATGGAGCAGATCCTAAGAATATCCCCTTTTTATAGATACGGAAACAGAGGCCTAGAAAGGTATTGTAATTGAGCGCAGGTTGCAGAGTAGGGATTTGAACCCTGGAACTGTTTCCTGAGCCTCTGGTCTTGACCACTCTGCATGCTCCCTCCCCCTGTGCCATACCAGGGGCCAGGAATGACCACTCATTCATGACTGAGTGCCAGGGCAAAGCCTTTGCTGCTGTCTCAGCCTCCCTCCAGGAGCGGCCATGTGGCATGCTCATGGCCCATGGCCCTCCTTGCTGGTTTGGCATTCTCCCTGTGCTGGTCAGCCCGGCTGTCTGCTCCTGACTCCTGCCAGTGAATGACAGCTGATCTTGACAAACTTCTGTGGTCATCTTGTGGCAGATCTGCTTCATGTCTTAATAGATCCTCCACTCGCTTTTGCTGTCAGCACGTATTGAAAGAGCCAGGTTTCATCCCGTGTCCGTCCACCATCAACCTTCTCCCCAGCTGAGTTCAGCATTTGTGGGCTGCCTGAATGCCACTCCACCCTGTGACTGGGCAGCAGGGAGATGGGTGTGGGTGGAGCAGGTGGAAACCTAGACAACATGGATCCTGACAGTGATGGTGGCGACTGTAAGGAGGGGAGTTCATGCAGTCACATTAGCTGCTCATTAGGCACCTTGAGAGGCCTATTGATAATGACTTCTACTCTTACTTTTAGATAGTATTTTCTTCTACACCAAGCATGGTATCCATGGTAGATGCTCGATAAGCATTTGGTGAATGCAGGAGCCAGTGAGTGACTGAATGAATGAATTGTTGCCTGGTTCCTTTGATTAAATGGCATCCTAAAAGGCCCTGGGGATGCGTTTTCTCCTGCTGCTACCTGGGATTGTGTTTCCTCCGCTCGGCTCTTCCCTCCTGAATGCCTGGCCTTTCTTCCTCTTCCCCTTTCTCCTTTGCGTATCAGCCCAGGGAGTGGCTGGACTCCATGGTGGAGGCAAGAAATGTGTTTTAGGTGATATTACAGATGGCGATAGGTTCCATAATTTTAGAATAGAAGTATTCTTTGGGGAAATTAGGAGTTAAATCAACTTTCAAGGGCTAATATGAAACCCAAACACCCACATATGATATTAATGTAGGAACATGCATTTTGAGTCCTAAACAGACTGTGGGGCAAATCCCTGGGAACTGAATATATTTGAGCAGCTCAGATCATCCAAGCATGTGTGGTGGAATCTGTCCCTCATCTGTGCTCCTGACTGAGAGTCTGTTCTTGACTTGGTAGTTTTCCTGACATGCTGGATTGAAATAGAATGGTTTCTGGAAATTGTGTTCTTGGTACTAGTGATAGGTTCCTACAGTTTTGTTTTCCAGTTGGAATTTATAATTGATACATCACACCAGTGTCTGGGCAGACTGTGCCTTCAGTGGTTTTCCCTCCTGTATCTTTCCACAGATGTGTCATCCCCACACCAGCGAGCCTCTGCCAAGATGAAACCGATAGAAGAAGGAGCAGAAGATGACGATGAGGTCTTTGAACCGGCATCTCCAAATACATTGAAAGTCCATCAGCTGCCTTGATCAGAGAGAGAATTCGGGTTACCAAGACAGAACATGTCTTGAAGAGATCCTGAAAAATACCAGCACTTTTTCGTGGCTTTTAGGTTCTTCTGCTTTAGTGCATCCAGACTGGTAGCGTCTGAGGGAGGAAGTGAGGAAGGGTCAAGGATGGAAGGGTTCTTTCACTTACCCTTTTGATTAGTCAGCTTTTAAAGTAATTGTTTTACTGAGCCTTCTGACTATGCCTTGTTCTCTTTTGAGATATATATTTTCACAGTCTTTTCTAGATATATTGTTTTTTTAACTTAACAAATCTTAGCACTCTCTCAATGCCTTTTCACTTACTTTTTTCCAAGTTGTGATTCTTTTTCCTCATGGTCTTTTTTGTTCCATGGCAATGGGGTTGTCCATTTGATAATTTTAACAAACAATGTAAGTTTAAATTTGAGGCTAAGGTAATGTGAAAAAGCATGGAATCTCAAACTTTATTCCATATTTTGTAACGGGACGTTTTAGAGAAAGGTGTGATTTGACTGGTTTTATTTTTCTCCCAGGCCGGAAGTATTACCCCACTGGATCACCTTACTTAGTTGGGCTCTGTGTCGATAACTTGATAATGAACACAACTCTCAGACTTGACTCACATTACCCTTGTATTATGCCATTTATAAACTGCTCTGAAACCTGAAGCTGGAAAGATGGGTTTCTGAGCATGGGGTTAACCTCCAGCCAAACTCAACTTCCTTGGGATTTGGAGTCACCTTGTTCTGCACACATGGGTGTGGGAAACACTTTATGTATGTTGGGAGGACAGGGGGGTTAAATGGCTGGGCAGGTACCACAGGGTGAGGTGACTGAAAGATCCACTTCATTCTTTGGTCTGTATTCTGAAGTTCCAGATTGTTCATCTAGAGGCAGAGACGTCACTTTTTAAAATGTGCCAGATGCCCCAGTGCCAGAGCCGTGAACGTGAACACAGTGGAGGGCAGAGGGTTTACCACAGGCCAGGCTGTGGACACCCAACCCAGATACTGCAGTGAGGGCCTTCATTCCAGAGCTCTCTTTTCTACTGAAATCATGGTTTAGTAAACAGTGGCATTTGGCTGGTGGGAAATGCATAACTGGTCAGTGTGTCCGGTCAGCGTGGCTGTGGCACTTGGCCAGGACACTCCGTTGAGTGAAGCTCGTTGATTGGCCATGCTGGTCATGTCTCTTTTGCTTCATCCACTAGAACCAACTTTGAGTCAGTCCCCTGTTAGGTTAAACGGCTAAGAAAAGTTCCAAATGAAATTGTTTTCAGGTGAACTGAGCCAAAAGCAGCAACTCTTCCCATGAGGTGATTTCTGTTAGAGGAGGCATATAAATAAGCTCATCTAGGGTCACCTCATTTTCCTAAATATGTTTTTAAAGCAATTATTTTAGTAATTTCATTTGAGTTAAATTTACATGCTCGGTCACTCATTGAGAAAATTTACACAGACTCTGAATCCAGTTCCTGACATCTTCATCAGATGTTGGTTTATTGACATCACAGTAAAAAGGCCACTGTCGACTGGACACGGTGGCTCACGCCTGTAATCACAGCACTTTGGGAGGCCAAGCTGGATGGATTACTTAAGCCTAGGACTTCAAGACCAGCCTGGGCGAGACCAGCCTGGGCAACATGGCTAAACCCCATCTCTACAAACAAAATTAGCTGGGCCTGGTGGTGCACGCCTGTAGTCCCAGCTACTCAGAAGGCTAAGGTAGGAGGTTCGCTTGAACCTGGGAGGTTGAGGTTGCAGTGAGCCCAGATCACACCACCGCACTCTAGCCTGGACAACAGAGTGAGACCCTATTTCAAAACAAAAGCTGCTTTCACTGTACTGCTGCAGCAATTTCTTCAGGTAGCTAAATTAGGAACTTGTTTTGGAGAAATGAAACAAAGGTGAATGACAGCCTAGGCTTTGAAATTATAAAGCTCTCTCAGGTTGAACTCTCTCTCATGCTCTCACTCTCACTGTCTCCCTGTACCTGAGAGCACAGGTGTGACTGTGACATCATAGCCGATACTACTTTCCTGTACCCACTGGGGTAAAGTTAGGCAACCCATTTAGTTTACACATGCATAAGACTAATTTACAGAATCACTCTATACAGTCGTTAGATGTAACATCCTTCCCTGAGTAGAAAATAATGGAGTAATGAATGTGTTTGGAGATTATTTTCCGTAATGCTGGGAACAAACCTGTTTTAAAAGCACACTGCTAAAAGTAGGTGACATAAGACCATTTACTGTTTTTATTAAAGTGTGTGTGTGTATCAGTGTCTCAATGTGAAGATTGTAATCTCAAGGTTAGGACTCTTAAAAGAGCCACTTAGCCTGAATGGGAAACATGAAACTATTTTTAAATACACACTTCTAAGGAAGACAGTGAGACTCTGAAAAAAGGTATAAGGCATTGAGAAGCCCTCCCATATAGACTTGATTGCAAAGAAGCAGATAAGAAGACAGAAAAGTGTTTTAAATGTAAGATCTCCTATGGAGTACTTTAAATTCATTTATACAAATGAATAAGTATATCTTTGTATAATGCATAAATACATAGATAAAAACATGTTTGCTGCCAAAGTTCCCAGTAAGATGCTTCCTGTGTTTTTTGGCCTTTACTTAGCTGAATGATCAAAGTTCAGAAAATGGTCTGCAAAAGTTACTCCATATACAACCCCATATCTACTACTTTTAAATGTAACATCAACTAAGTTGTATGAATCTAGAGTGTAATATTTATATTAGAATGTATATGTCATTTAAAATATTTTGAAATCCCTCATAAATATTTATATTTACTAAACTAATAGCATAGACACTATATAAATCTACAGTGATGCTAAAATAAATTAGTAATAATGGGTGCTATATAATTATTTTTAGTTATCATCCCTGTCTCTCTGGAATCTTCTCCATTTCTCCCTATCACTCAATTTCATTTTAATCATTGGACACCTTTGCGTTTTGCTGCTAACAGTGTGTGTATGTCACTCTCTTTATATCTGGTGTTCCCACTTGTCTGAAGCTCTCTTGATCTTAGAACCTGGAGCTGCAGATTCCTCCATGTCAGCTCCCATCACAGCCCCAAAAACAGAGTCACTTGGTTGCTGGAAAAATCTCTGGGGAAAGCTGGTATAACCTACACACTGACCTGTCCCCAGTGTTTCCAGGTAATGACTTGGCACTGCAGAGGAAGTTTCATGCTGTTGCGTGTGGTGGCTCCAAGCCAAGCACCTGGCATGCAGGTCAGCCCCTCCCAGCAGGGCGTGGTATCATCCTCTTCTCAGATGCCATGTTGCAGCCCCAAGGTCTCACCATTTTGTAGGTTTTAGAAACCCATTTTCTTGGTCATTTATAAAGCTGCTTTATAGATATCTTTGATCCTGGCATGCCTTGGTTTCTTCTTCCTTCCCTCTTTCCAATCCTGGTTTCCCACCACCTCTTTTAGTAATTCTCAATTCAAAGTCCCAAGAATTTGGAATGGTAGGATGCTGTGCGGGGAGCTCGAGGCTGAGGCGTAATCACCACTTCAGTTCTGCTCCTCAGGGGACACGCTCCCTTACTCACGGCAGCCATGTTTGATTGTCACAGAGCCCCCCAAATACTGTCTATAGTGACACACTGTAGGTATCATAAATTTTAAGAAATCTGCTTTTAAGTACTGTTTATAGGTTTTTCTGTTACACTTGCAACCTAGTTTTAAAATACATGAGGATTTTATGAAAGCTTTATACAGACCTTTATAGGAAACTCATTCTTTGATTTTAGGTGCCATTTAAATTGATAACACTTACTTTATAATAAAGATGCTTTTTGTCTGGATACAGCCTTATAGTTTAAAATATCTTCATATATTGCCACTTGATCAAATAAATTTCTTACTTAGAAAATGTGTGTATTTTTTATTTCATCCCTCTTCCATGTATCTAGCTTGTTCGAATGCTGTGCCCGAAGGCCGAGGTTGTGGGGACTGCCCTGGTGCAGGCCACTGTATTCTGAGCGGACCAGCAGGAGCAGTGCTCACGGGCCGGTCATCCCTTACTTCAAAGGTCCTGCCATCCTGGCTGCTTTGACTGTGAAAAAAGAAAAATGGCCAGAAGGCAGCGTAGACAGTGTTGACTAGATGCAGCAATGCAGAAGCCTTCAGAGTTTTACTGACGGGACTTGGTGGACTTCAGCCTTTTATCCACTGCATCTGAACATTCACTCCCTTCTAGCTTCCTAAGATTCGACAGTAAGAGGAGTCACATGAAGGAGTCAGAAAAGCTCCCTGGGTCTGTTCTGTGGTGGACGAGGGGGACAGTCTTTCTATTCTTTGAGAAACCCACATTTTCTCCCATAAGCTGTCCTAGGTATTGGAATGGAAACTTGACAGCCCATCTTTTGACCTTGAGTAGCAAGCCCTTGGCATCTAACACACTCACCCTAGTTGGCCTCAAGGATAGGCCCAAATGGAAAGAGCATCTTACACCATGAAAGAAATTAATTCTGTCACTCAACAGGCCATGGCATCGAGGCCTGATGTCTGGGTTTCCAGCCCTGAACTTTGTGCTGAGCCAGCTTTTGACCAGCTTCCCCTTACCTAAGACTGTGCTGTAAGAGCTGGGGAGTCTCCACTGATGTCCACTTGGGGGTTTTCTGTGGACAGACATGGCTACAGCCCACCAGAAGATAAAGCTCACAGGACTTGGCTATTCGTGGGAACAGAAGTGGTGGTGAGTGAGGGAGGCGTGTCAGAGATTTCTGGCTTAAGTTACTGCTGGTGATTCTCTGGCCAGGAACATGGCAGAGCACCAGGTTTGAATGCAAAGCCTGAGTATGTTTTCTTCATGGTAAGTTTGAGGGGCCTTGAGAATAATGAAGAGATGTCAAGCAGGCAATTGGGTAAGTCAGCCTGGAACTCAGTGAAGGGATCTGGGCTGAAGATACAGATTTCCAAGTTGAAGATGTCACTGTGAGTTTACCAGCTTCCTAATACATAAAGATTTTTCTAGTTAAGGTTTTTTCTTTTCCTCGTTCCTTGCACCCCCCATGAATGAATGAATGAATGAATGATAATAAATGAGTGAATTTTGGATCTTTTATTCTGAAACGTGTTAACGTTTGAAAGATCTGCATAAGTGAGCCAGTATTTTTTAAGTGATCAACACATGATGTTATAAAGTCACACACATGGATATAAGATCTATTCCAAGCACAGGCTAGACCAGTGCAGCAGCACAAAACTGCCATTAACAGGGTTTCAGACTCCACACTGCAAACAACCTTTACGAAAGATTGTTCCTTTTCCACTCCCACTGCTTCACTTGACCTTAAAAAAAAGAAAAAAGAAACTATTAAGTATAGAGTTTCTTGTAGTATCAAGAATAGCCTCAGTTGGCTGGGCATGGTGGCTCACGCCTGTAATCCCAACACTTTGGGGAGGCCAAGGTGGGTGGATCACTTAAGGCCAGGAATTCAAGACCAGCACAGGCAACATGACAAAACCACATCTCTACTAAAAGAACAAAAATTAGCCAGGTGTCGTGGTGTGCACCTACAATCCCAGCTACTCAGGAGAATTGCTGGAACCCAGGAGGCGGAAGCTGCAGTGAGCAGAGATCATGCCACAGAACTCCAGCCTGGGTGACAGAGCAAGACTCTGTCTCAAAAAAAAAAAAAAATCCACATTTATCTCAAGATTATTGAAGTACTTAATCTGTCCTCCTACCTTTTCCAAAATCTGTGTGAGACTAGATTTTCTTCATATACTTCAACCAAAACGATAGGCTACAATCCACTGAATGCAGGGCAGATGTGAAAATCCAGCTCTTCTATGGAGCCACACCTCTAAAAGAATTGCAAAAGCGTAAAACAATGCCACTGTATACTTTTTTTGTTTTATAAAATAGTAATTTTATAAATTTTATAAATAGAAAAGTGTTCTTCATGTTAACATGTAATGAGTTATTTATTATTTTCAAGCAGAATGACGAATGTCATTGTTCTCTAAGCGCCTGTGTTTCTAGCCTCTGTGGCTCTCCCCTGATTCCTGCAATAGAACCCCACCTTGTTTCTCCACCTCTGGCCTTGCATTTTCCAGTCGACCTTTGTGCTGCTATCGGAATAATTGGAAAATTTGCCAACAGAATTGAAAACCTTCCGATGGAGCTTCCTTTCCTGTGGAGAAAAGGCCACACTCTCTGCATGACCACCAACGCCCTTCCTATACCCGATCACCTGCACCCAGCCAAGGCGGTGACTTCTCCATCCCCTGAACTCATCACACAGGAGCCCACCTCTACCTGAAATGCCCGCATTTCTCATCCAGCGGTGCCCCCAGGGTAAACTCCCACACCTCTGTGGATCTGCTCTTCCCTCCTTTGCTGCCCTCTGTGGCTTATGCACACCGTATGGTTGGTTGTATGGCAGCCACAGCAGGGACGTTTGCTTAGGTCTCAATGTCTCTTCATATCATTGTTGAATCTAGCAACGCTGTTTCACTTATCTATTTGAACCCTCAACAGTACTGTCAATGTGGGAGGGCAGGCCCTGTGTCCCCGTTTTAGAAGGGAGAGAAGGTGGGTACAGAGAAGGTGGTAAGTGATTAACCCAAGGACACGTTGGCAGGTCTCAAACATATGTGGTCTGTTCACAACTCTGGTTCTTTTTTTTTTTTTTTTAGAGACAGATTCTTGCTCTGTTGTCCAGACTGGAGTGCAGTGGCGTGATCACAGCTCACTGCAGCTTTGAACTCCTGGATTCAAGTGATCCTCCCAGATCAACTTCTCCAATAGCTGGGACCACAAGTGCACACCAGCATGCCTGGCTAACTTTTTTTTTCTTTTCTTTTTTTTTTTTTGGTAGAGATAGGATCTCACTATGCTTCTCAGGCTGTGTCTTCAACTCTGAGAAATCGACTTATTTTCTATTTACTCCTACTCTATGCTTAGGCCTTGTTCTCATTCCAGTTTTGGGCCATGTTCACAGTTCCAGTGTCATCCATAGCAGTGTCCTCTTGCTTGCTGTACCACTGGCTCTTGGATTTTGTTTTGTGTTTTTTGTATTTGGTTTGTTTGCTTGTTTTTAAGACAGGTTCTGGCTCTGTTGCCCAGGCTGGAGTGCAGTGGTGCAATCTTATTTCACTGTAGCCTCGACCTGCCAGGGTCCAGTGATCCTCCCACCTTGGCCTCCCGAGAAGCTGGGACTAGAGGCGTGTGCCACTATGCCTGGCTAATTTTTGTAATTTTTGTTGAGATGGGGTCTCACCGTGTTCCCCAGGCTGGTCTCGAACTCCTGAACTCAAGTGATCTGCCCACCTTGGCCTCCCAAAGTGCTAAGATTACAGGTATGAGCCACCGTGCCCAGCTGGATCCTGGATGTTAAACACTATGTTAATATTTTCTTGCTATTCACTGAGGACAAATGTATTCCACTGACTTCCAAGTTCTCCCAGCTTTCCTCTTCATCCTGTCATGAGAAAATTCACACCTTTCCCACTTTTAGTTATGTCTTTCTGATTTGCTTCGTCTATTCGCTCGTCCCAGCTGCCTGTTGAATGCCACGGTGCTTATCATTGCTGGGCCAGTGCACGGGGCCTGCTCCCAGGAGGACATAGCACTTTGACTCGGGATTTTACCTTCTGACTCCTTGATTGGCAGGCCAACAGAACCAAAAGTGGTTTGAACTGGGCTAAACTATCTCACGTCCAAGTCCATGGAGGTCCCACAACTGTAAAACAGCTCTTATAAGAAGGGACCTTGGATGGGGAAGTGATGATAGCCATTTAATTCTTGATATTTATCTGCAAATGAGGAAAGCATACTGAGCTGTTCACAACTGTTGGTGACTACATTATAATCATTTCATTTGTGTAGAGACTGGCTGAGGCAAGACCTCAGAACGATCTCAGGGAATAAACCTCAGGTTCAACCTCCCAGGAGGCCAACTACACTGTGCAGAAAACAGAACTATAATTCACTCATCTGCTATGACATTACGTCTCTTAAAATTGCTTCTGTAGGCCGGGCGCCGTGGCTCATGCCTATAATCCCAGGACTTTGGGAGGCTGAGGCAGGGAGATCCCTCAAGCCCAGGAGTTCAAGACCAGCCTGGCCAACATGGCGAAACTCCGTCTCTACAAAAAAATACAAAAATGAGCCAGGCATGGTAGTGCATGCCTATAATCCCAGCTACTTGGGAGGCTGGGGTGGGAGGATTACTTGAGCCTGGGAGGCGGAGCTTGCAGTGAGTTGAGATCATGTCACTGTAGTCCAGTGCTCTCTGGGCAATGGAATGAGACCCTATCTCATAAAAAGAAAAAAAGAATCACTTCTGTTGTCTTGGGGACCTTTTTTTTTTTTTTAATGTGCTTCCCACTACTTTTGTTGTTCTCACCTGATCCCTTCTAACTTTTCGTATTAGGGCTGATATGTTTTGTTAGTAAGAACAATTAGGTGTAATGGGAGATAGTGAGAACAGCATGTATTGAGTGCCTATTATTTACCAGAGACTGCATTTAAAATACATGATTTAGTATTTTCACAACGATTGTGCAAGGTAGTTATGATCACCACTTTGCAGAGGAGGAAACCGAAGCTCATTGAATTTACCAAGACAATTCAGCAAGTCGCAAAGCCGGGACTTCCTCCCGGACCTCTGAGACTGAGGCCCCGCCTGTCTGAGGCCCTCTTTCTCTCCAGTGCTCCTGGAGGTTGAGTGTGAGGACACCAGCATATCTGGTTCCCAGCTCCTTTCCTTAGGTTATCAAGGAGTTTTCATACTAAAATAGAAAAATGTAAGACTTTCTATTTTTTGTACATGTATTTATATAGATGGGCATTTTCTTAGAAAAAAAGAAAAATTAAAATCTGACATTGGCCTTTAAAATTAGCTACCAATTCCTGTGAAA